ATATTTTCAGTGCCTAGAAGACCTTAATCCAGCACAGATTATTTGTTTACACTGGACATTACATTTATACATCAAAAATAGCTATTGTCAATCTACAATTTACATCAATCATCAGTGAGAAGTTGTGACAGCAGCTTATGCACAATGACTTTGATGTAGGAGAGGAGGATAAAACATATAAAAGACATGCCACCAACATATCTGGCTAACATTTTACCAAAGGTTATGTCTACTTTGCAGGACATTACAACAGCTTCTTGTGTTTTGGATAAACAACTCTCCACTGCTCCTGGCCAGTCTTGGTCACTGCATATGCATGATTTGAAAATTCATTATAGTTTAGGGTAGCTATATGCAATCTGAAGTAATAAAATTGAAAAAAAAAAAACCATTCAGAATAAAATGATCAGTGATTCTTGCTACTTACTGAGCTTGTTTTACGATTAGGATTGGCAGGCTGGTTTTTATCAATTTATTTTGTAAACATTGTACATAGAATAATGAATAATATTTAATATATTTAATGTTTCAAAGTGTTGGCAATTTCATGCAATAATCAAGTTCTGCTACAATTGTTTTTAAACACCATGAGGGAAACATAATCACCAAGGAGGAAACAAGTGCCAGGACCAACTGACTGGAAACACATGTTCTCATTTTTGCCTAATCTAACTGCATACTAGTAACCTTGCAATCATGGATCCATAAAAGAAGCATGTGCTCTTGGGTGATTTACGATATTGTGGAACACTTCTAAGCCACAATTTTGATGAATTTTGATAACTTCTGGATGTCTTGGAGTATGTGAGAACTGAGTGACTTTAGCCATAAGTTAATGTATCAATAGAAATGATTTTGTATATGAAAAAGTGTATCAGTCTGTGCTTACAGCTTTGGTTAAATAAAATGAATATGTTTGGCTAAATCAAAGGCTTATTGTGATTTAAGCTCTATAGAATAAGCCCTCAATATAAATAGCACTGTGTTTCCCAACCATATATTATGATATATTAATATATATATATATATATATATATATATATATATATATATATATATATATATATATATATATATATATATATATATATATATATATATCTCTGTTTAGGAAAATATCTTAACTTGATAAAATTATGGCCAATCTTGTCCTGTTTGGTTATACCTCACATGTACACACACTTATAGTATTAGTAACTGGATATTGAAAAAGAGCAATGTAAGCATATGTAAACTTTTCTATACATATGCTAGTTGTAAGCATACCATCCTTCAACCTTTCTCTCCAAACAGGACCATGTTCACATTTGCAAAAGATAGTAGAATGGTTCTCATGCTTGTTTTTGATATAGGTCATAAGTGATTCCCATTAGGCAACGTTAAGCTATCCATTGTCCTCACAAGAAGCTACAACCCAATAAAACAACCAACCCAATCTCCCAAAAATACCCCCCCCCCGAGTATTATTGACAAAAAAACAAACATTTGTAGTATCTACAGAGCATTTATGAAACATCTGAGTAATCACATGGCAACAACTGATACATTACATTTATGATTGCACACAAGGGGAAAAGGAAGGGGGGAGGGTTACAAAGAAGTTTATCCCATGTCATAGCCAAATGCTCATGTTTCTCAGGTGATGGCAAAAAAACTTGAAATTATGCATTCCACTCTACTTTTAATACATAATACTATTACTCTAACGTTAGCATCTTAAACAACACTTTTCAAGATAAATATGTTCCAACAATATATAATATATGCAACAACTCTTTCTCCACAGCACATGGAGTGGGGTTGTGTTGATAATGCTGGAGAAGCATGAGAATCAAAGTTAAACAAAGCTCTATTTTATGCGGATATTATGGTTTAAATACCTCAGTTACATTAGGGACACTACATTAATGGAAATTGGAGTGTATACAACATATTTATTTACCTCTGCATTCTGCTACTTGCTATAGGTGGCTCCTCTTATTCGTGATTTGACAGCTGTGATGCTACTGGCAGTTAGATCTGATCTGTCAGTAGATCTTTACCCAGGCCCAAGAGTAAAAGAATGTCCTATACTGCTTTCGGTTTCAGTCTTGCCCTGACATTCAAATATCCCAATTCTGCACATCTTCCTGGATCAACTTCATACTGATCTTTTGAAAAATGCAATCTGCAAAAGTCTACAAGTTACTGGCTCAAAGTTCTCATGGCAACAGTAATGGATACATGCCTTTCGCCAGATTTTGTCTTTTGGAAATTGGGATAAATAACCAGTCAAATTATTGTCACATCCAAATACTGCACAGCGAGCATTTTTGAAATTCTTGGGAAAAATAAACTCGAATACAAGCACAATGAATCAACAGGATGCTGAGCAATGGCCGATAGCTGCAAAAGATCCTGTGATGTCACGTGAATTCAGCCTCAGTTCTATGCGTCAAATATGCATTTCAGAATGCTCAAGCAATTCATTCCCTATAATGTACTGTAAATCGTATTAGGTGCAACTGGGTAACCCCAAACTATTTATTTTATCTTGGGCAACAAACGAGTAACATAACCATAACTTTAATTGTATGTTCCCTATTCCTTTAATAAAAAGAATCACTAGTGAATAGAGTATATCATGAGAGAACAAACTTTGGGTTTGAAAGTGAACCAAGCATAACAAACCCTGCAAATTCAGTGACCTTTCTTGCTGTCAAGATATACAGTTATTGTCTCTTAACTGGAAAAGTATTTTGCTCAAAAAAAAACTTGAAGGATATAGTTATTGGACCATGCTGAAATGGACTTTATTGGACCATGCTGTAATGGGCTTTATTTTTGGTTCAATCTCATTAATGAGGTTGTCAGAAAAATACAACTCTTCAATAATTAAAAAATTTACAAGACTGTGATTAAGGTTCTTGACTTCTAATTGGCAAGTAATGAAAATTTTAATCTTCCTGATGAACAGATCTGAGATTAATGAAGTTATTACATACAGAGGTTGCAATATTAACCGCAGTGTTTAAACATGTACAAAATTTACTAGAATTGAAGTCAAGCCATTTTATCATACATGTACAAAATTTACAATAATTGAAATGAAGTTATTTAACCATTTAATTAATTGTTCAGTGCCATACACTGTTCAACTTCATCTACCATTACCTCTTTTTACAAAAGGATTTATTTATGTAAGACATGTCTTTGCAGAACATATCTGACATCCTTTGATATCATTTCCAATTGTTACAGATATACAAGTATTATGAAAGCCTCAAACGGTGGAACTCATTCAGGTCCATTGATGCTATTGTAGAATCTGCATTGACAATGGAACTATGTAGTTACCTACGAGCTTGCAAGGATTTTTCTTAACATAAAATGTTACTAATGAACGGGTCTATCAACAAATATGTTTAAAAGAAAATACTGTACTTAAAAAAATAATCAATATTATCAGTATATAAACCTTTGTAATTTGTATAATAAACAAATCTCATCCATTTTCGTTCTGCTTTTTATACTTTAAGAATTAACAATCAAACATCAACATAAAAGTCATATCCAACGATGTGGAAATTAAAGTTTTAAATATCCAGTGTCAATAGCAGCCATATGCATGTTCACTTCTATGTATACTGATTTTGCAAACGAGTACTTGCAGGAAACTAAATTGAACTATTTACAGGTGTAAACGTTGCAATCTTTTTCATGTCTGTCCGCGTGGTTTCGAGTCTCGGATTCGGCCCACAAGTGCTCGACGCGAGCTTTTTGTTTAAAAAAAAAAAAATCAATCTGACTGTAAAAAGTCATACAACAATAAGTCAGATTATCCCCACAACCTGTTCTGATCCTGGACCCTATCTATCATACTATATAAATATGATAGAGAGGGTCCAATTTCAGAACGAATCATGTTTCTTTTTAACACCTGTGATTCGGCTAAAGTAGGTATATAGAAAGCTTCCAGTAACTTATCGTGGGTCAGCGGTTCTTTTCGGGGTTTTCACGGGTTCTTCCTCCACCATTTATACTGGTCGCCTTGTATATCTTCTGCTCAAAAATGGTGTTAAACCCTACAACAACAACAACAACAACAACAACAACAACAACAACAACAACAACGATAACAATCTTTCTATACACTAATTGCAGGTACAAAGTTCAGACAGCAACCAGCGTTGTCTGTGTAAACACAAACATAATTTGCACACATCAGCAAACCACCAATATTGCTTTTTTGTAATATAGCTATGTACCTTTAGCTACTTCATTGAGGGATGGAACATGTAATTTTTCTTTCTGAACAGCTAAACAAGCCATATGTGTTGTTTCGCCACGATTATCACGCAGTTAACGAACCTTACAATCGAGGTATCCTCTGCCTTTTCCGTCGCATACTAGAATTTATTTCACCTTGGGTCCCATCGAAGTAAACCAACAAAGTATGTCTCCGATTTATATATATATATATATATATATATATATATATATATATATATATATATATATATATATATATATATACACACACACACACATCTGACAGCAGATATAAAAATAAAAAAAGACCATTATGTAACGTAACAGAGCAATCAGAACCACCTCAGTCTTTTTCCGTGCAGTCGAGAACTAGGGTGGCGCTCAATAGTTTCTTATTATTAAAGGAACTTATAATTGAATGTATTTTGGTGTGCAATTTGAGTTAGAGAATATACAGTAAGACCTTCGCTTGCTCATTTTCACTTTCTGAACTTAGGAAAGTGTGTGTGTGTGTGTGTGTGTGTGTGTGTGTGTGTGTGTGTGTTTTGGATTTTTAACTAACTTTATCAATTTTTCAGTCATATCGATACGATGTCTGTAATGTCGCAGTTCAGTGATGTCAAACACTAGGTCATCATGTCCCACCCAGTCAAATTATCCTGACACCAGGCAGATTATCTTAACACTAATCTTTTAATGCTGAGCAAACTAGCGAATCACCTGTTAGTACCATTTTTATGTCTTTGATATGACTCAGTCGGGATTCAATGCCAAGACCTCCCACATCCGAGGCGGACGCTCTAACCGCTATGCCACCGGAGCGGCTGTAAAAAAAAAAAAAATTATAACCCCACCTCTCCAAAAGACCTCGGTCACTTTTCTTAAAATAGATTTTATATATTTGGTAATGTATTCATTAAATTTTCCGCAACTAGTATAGTCTAGTCTGATAGATACATTTACCTTATTTCAATAACAGCTAAAGATATCTCTTGTTTTTTTTTTTTTTACAGGAAATGATAAGTCACCGGAGTCCACTAGCAATAGTGAATGTTTTCACTTCTACACGTCGTATTAGATACTTGGCGGTCGTTCTGTTCAAGATGTCACTAATGTCGTTTCAAGCTTTAGATAATACTTCTACGCGACTTACGTAAAGTCTGGCTTCTTGGATGATGGTTTTGTACTCGTTGACATGAGCCATCAAATGGAAAGCGGCACTACTATGATTAAGTCTTAAGCAAATATCCACTCCGTTTAGTAAATACTTGTCTTGCAACCACATGTCCAAATGCGAACGATCCATTAGTTCTACGACCTTGTAGAATTTTCTTTCGACGATCGTTAAAACCCACATTGTGAGGATCGTCATCGGCTGTCAGGGCTGTGTCTTTAAACTTATATCCCCAGCAGTATCAGGTTTCCATTCCATGCACGCATCTAGATGAGTGTTCTTTGCCTCTTTTCCAAACGTCAAGAGATTTTCTAGATACTCTCGGTAAGGGTAAGTATCCATACTGCTGATACCCAGTTTGTTATTCAAGTACAAATCCACTTCGCTAAATAAGGAATGCATGAAATTATTGACGGGAGCTACTCTGGCATTGGCTCCAGGATTGGTGTTGTCCGTTTTAATCACTTTCAGGTTTAGATACAAGTAACTGCTATTCAAGTTGATGTAATCTTCAGATTGTCTTTTGATTTCAAACTCGAAGGGAGCGGAATCCGTCAAAGAGGGGACGGGATGAAATTCAACTCATTGGGATTCTTGCATCGTCATCGTGGTGGGTGGCATGGTAAATATGTCCAGTTCCGACTTGGAACAAGCACAAGGCTGTCTCATTTCTTTTTTTGTGTGCAATTTAATAATCAAAAACGTCTAAGTCTCGAACAGTTTTTCTTTTATTAGTCTTTCTAGCTTTGAGAGAGTGATGTTCTCTGAACGGGTGTATTCTTCTTCGTCTTTTTCAGCATTGTCATAGCTGTGGTGTCTGAGAAGCAGGAATGTCTGATACAGCAGTAATCGTGGCATTTATAGAAGTGTCTCGCCGGCCCAAAAGGTCTTTGCCTGTTTGAAGCAGAACATTTTTGCCTGCTCTTAAGAAAGCTTTTTTTAGGGTTTTATTTGTCAATGATGACAATTTAAAGAAATTCTTTACCGTGTGCCAACTCAGCATCTTTCAAGGCGGGCAATTTTCTGTGTTACAACAGGTTTCAACACGAGAACCACTGTACGAAAGGCCGATTTGAGCATACCCCTAAACCGTGCCTCGTTGTCGAGCGACTCAATGGTAGACAGGATACATGAATGACAAGAAGTGTTTAGAGTATTCTTTTTCGAAAATGGAGTTTCCTGGTGACTTTCCATTGGATGAATGGAATATTTTGTCCTAGATCTCCTTTCATAGTATTGTTGACAATGTCGAAATACGACGTTCTGACAGGTAAATAGTGAGGATGTACAATTCGCGGTGAAAGTGATAGGAGTTTCCACCTTCTTCGTCAGCAACCGTGGCAGAATCCACTTTGAAAGGAATGACACGCAGTAACGATGAAGAGGTGGGTCCCACTTTATTGTACTCCACTACATCGGAGTACACAAAGATAAAATTCAATCCTTTATTCATTTCTACAGTTTATCGAAAATATTTGGCAAAATCCAAATTAACGGTCACAGCAAGATATTTCACTTGCAACCTAGATCAACTTTGGGTCTCCACCCAAAATGTGATACAATTCAGGACAAAATGTAATGTTCAATATTTTGTCCTCCTGAAACTTGATCCGTAGGCGAAGAGCTATTTTGTGGTACTCGATTCTGACACTTTTTCTAGCTCTCTCCAATTTAACCTTTCAGCAAGGGTGTTCACCAAATGTAGACGACTAAAATAATAACCCGCGGTAATTTTCAAAAAGTAAATTGGGTTTCGGAGTTTTTAGTTGTTATAAAGTCAGCTACAGCTCGGCGTTCATCCAAGGTCCTTTGCACTTCTTGGTCATAAACTTCTATGGACACAGAATTTTTATTTTAGACGACGTTTTTGATTTGTGTAGGGTGAATCATTTCCACCAAAGCCACTACCCAATGGGCTTCGTGATCTAATTGGATGGCCTGAGGTAATTCGGACGTGAAACAGCGCAAAGTGTTATTAGGAAACACCTCCATGGAACTGTCACTGGGTAACGTTAAGTAAAATTAGTTGTGCATTATTCCACAGTTCTGGTGTCCGAGGAGTCACTGGAACACAGAGGAGTGTCTAAAAGAGGTTGGTTAGGGTGACTATTAGAACTCACGTTGGACACCAGATTCCTGTTGGTTTTTTTTTCAGTTAGAGGAATACTTTAGGGACGGATTGGGAATAAGGTAACCAACGCAACTGCTGAGTAAAATTGTCCACAATTGTTTGTCTCCTTGTTGCAAACTCAAATTAGCAATAGCAGCACTGATGACACAATACACCACAAAGATTTGACATAAAAAGACAATTTGCGTTTTAGGCACACGTTCACCACACCACACCCACAAGAGTTGCTTTTGTAGATCTTGCAGAGAAGATCGGGGGGAGTGGTGGAGCGGTCTCAGTAGGAGCTGAGGCTATCTTGAAGGGCATAATGGTCACTTCTTTTTATAGCCGATGATTCGAGAAGCGTCAATCCAAGAGTCAAAATTTGACGGATATCCTTTTCAATGTACTTTGACTTCTTTGACACGGCGTTTTCCCACTTTTCGTGTTCTTTGATCGGTAATGCTTTCTATTTCCTACACGTGGTCTTCTTTTTTGGTCACAAGTAACTCGGGTAAGTAAAACGTTCCTTTTAACACTTCCCCGTTCATGTCTTCCAATTTAGAGACGGGAGGATAACGACCACGCAAACGTTCATTGACACGAAATAATTCGGTGGTCCAATTGGGTAAGTAACCTTTGTCAAAAGTACGTTTTGTTTTGTCAATGTGTACCCAATCTCCTGTTTTCTTTTGACGAATATGGATTTTCTTTTGGACCATTTGGCGAACAACGTGTCGATGTCTGGCTAAGCATTTTTTTCTGATGTGGAGACAAAAGTATCGTACCTTTCGAAACATTAAGACAACATTCGCACACGGTATCGATGACATCTTTGGAGGAAGTTTGAATGAGTTTTTTTTCGCATGAGTGGAGGATCTTTGTACAGGACAGACAACATGTTCCAATATTTGACTAAACGAAGAGGCAGTCCCTTTCTTTCTTCTTTTCATTTCCCCTTTCCTTTTAGCACAGAAGAGCGACGGTGGTAACAGTGTGCAGTTCTTAGTGAGGTCAAAGCGAGGTGATCAGGAGCTCAAAAACACTGATTCGTATGGTATGCTTCAGGTCTTTTTTAAACTTGAATGTGTCGCGACTGATTGTCTTTACGTCGTATAACCTTGATGCCAGGCAACACGCGTCTTGGATGAGTTCGCAAAAGGTTGAATTGAGCCAATTCTTGGTTGGACAAATCCTTTAAACTTTGTAGCATGCCTGATCTCTCTTGGACTTTGATTTTAGGGGCAGGTACTTTCAGCAGCAGAAACTGCTGCTAAAGAGGAAGAGGGTGTCACCGCTGGATGAGACATTTTTGTAGATGCTATCTTGTAGGTAGGAACTGTTTTCTGTGGGCTTTACTTTTTCCTTTTTTGAAATGGTGACTTCCTCTTGGCACCGTTTCTTTTCTTCTTTTTCTGAGGTAGTGACCTATTATTGACACCATCGCTCTTTTCAAAATGATGAGATCGTTTCATCTTGATTGAAAAACATCAAATGACTACATTTGAAACGCCTTATTCCCTATATATTCTTGTCAGACCAGTGCATATATAACGGCTTATATAGTGCATTCCCACTTAGTATTCATTTTTGCTCTCAAACCGATCAGCACCATGGAAGAACCCACACAGATCGAAAATCGGATTAGAGCTTTGCGAGGTGTCATACGAAAGTTTTCTTTAGAGAATCCAACGAACCATTCTTCATCCTTTCGAGATAAATGTCAAGATACCTACTAAATCTGTAAGAATAAAGGGCATTGGGCTACAGAATGTCCAGACCGTCAAATATTTCGGTGTAAAAAAAGACAAAAGTCAAGATACCTGTCATCATTGTCAAGCGAGAGGGCATTGGTCTTTAGAGTGCCCAAAGAAACAACAGGAGCAAGAGGAAGAAGAGGAAAGGGAAGAATCCCAAGACGTTCAGAAAGAGAACAAAAGAAGGAGAGAAAAAGGAGGATGAAGAAGAGGAGAGAAAAACTCTGAAAGTATAGAAATTTAAAAAAAAAACAGTGTGAACCAAGTACAGACAGGAGAAGTTTATGAACTTTTTTTTTTAAAAAAAGTGTTGTGAATTAGATAGTAAATATTTGTACCCGAATATACCAAACTGAAAAAGTGTCTTCTAGTTTTGATTTTTAGAATAAGAGTACACACACACGCACACACACACACACACAGTAAAAATTAATATTAACTCTTTTCAAAGGAAATGGATGGCCCTGAAAAGGATCGTTGAGTGTTTGGGCTTTTTAATAAGAACAAACTCAGGAACAAGAAGCAATTCGCTTTAACTGTCTTAAGCCTTTGCCACGGCCAAGACCTACTTGTGGACTTGTTCCTGTCAATTATCGAGTAGAAATGACTAAAGGTAGTATCTCTAGTGTAGTCACAGGGTTAGGCTGTTTGGCTCGAGGTCTTTTTCTCTTGGATTGTAATAAAGAAATCTGATACATTTGTTTCAGACTTCTTAACTCAACTAAAATGTCCAAGAGTATCGTAACTTTTGACTTTCACTGTTTTCTTTCTCTCCTAGACT